TCCCCCCGTAAACTAGGCTCCACACCCAACATGGGCCTTGAACTCCAGATAGCCCCTTAAATTCTTTTTAATTAAATGCTTACAATAGCATTTTTTCCCCTTTTGCTTCTGTTTTCCCAAGTGCTGGGCGGGTGGTCCTTCCTACAGCTTTGGAATGATCTACTTTGGAATAATCAATAGCTGTGGCTATCCTAAGTTTTTCTGAGTCTTTGGCCCATTTTCACAGTGTCCTATGTGGAGCTTGTGTTTTCACACCAGGCCATGTTAACTAACGTTGGACCTGTCACAGCGGGCCAGGTTTTTAAAAGTGACTGTAACATATACACCTTGCACAGTATTAAAATGTCTGCGCCTAGACATTCAGCTGGGACAGGAAGGACTTGAAGATGTCCTCCACTGAGGAGCTAACCCCTAGAGGCAGCATGAAGGCAGGGACTGGAAAATGGTCACTACTGTGAGACACCTGCAGTAGAGGTCCACGTGAATGTGGACAATGGCCAAGTTAATGCAGGCAGTTTAGGATCGTGGTAAACTCGAGAGAATCTACAAGACTGGGATAAAGAACCAAGACAAAATGCAGTCCTTTACTAGTCTTTCAAACAAGCAGAGGGAACAGGAAACACGCCTGAGGTTCTACTGCCATCTGTTGGTAGATCCCCTTCAATACAGCTAGAGGTAGAAGGGCAGAATTGGAAACCCTTTCAAAAAAAAATTTTGCCAGATAAGACTGCTGGCAGGAAAGAAATCTGGTACCCAAAAGTTGCACTCCAATTAAAAAAAGTAACTTAGAAGGTATATTTTGAGGGGTTGATGGATAGGGAGGATTTGTGAAAGGCAAACTAAGTCTAAATTTAAGAACAGGGATATTACAAACTTTATTTAATAAATACAACAAATAATTTAAAAATATACTTCAATTTCAAAGCCAATTAAGAAAAGGAAGTAGAGAAAGGGGAAAAAAGGGGGAGCAGGAGATCAGAGGAACAAGATAAAGTTCAAGAGACAGAACAATGGTTTGGTTGGGCTGTGTGTCAGAATGTACCACCCTTTAAAATTCTGACCAAATGCTCTTGACTCCTAAACCCTTAGCCCTTGTTCTGATGGGGTAGCCATAGGAGTCTACCAGCTAGGAATGATTCTCTGGGCTCTGGATCAGAGCACTCCAGAGGCTGGAATCTGGGAGGGGAGTGTTTGTTTGTTAGGAGACAGTTTTGCACTCCTTCCTAAAAACCATCTGTTCTAACTCCCAGGGCGGTTTAAACAGTGCAAAACTCTCAAGTGGAGAGCTCCTAGGTGCATAGTTTCACAACTGAGTGTCCAAAGCCAGGGCTTCCGGGAGACAGGTCCCAGGTACCGAGGGGTCCAAAGCCACTTTGGTGAATGGGATCTAAGGGGGAAGACAGGAGAGGCCAGGGCACGGGATTAAGCCCCTGGCTAAGCCAGTGGCCAAGCCGGAGAACACTGCTGGGCAAGAAAGGTCTGCAGGGCAGGTAGTCTGGACACTGGATTCAGCAGTTGGCCATCAGCCAGGGAAGGTGGAGCTGAGGACGCTTATGGAGCAGGACCAGGAAGATCAGGAAAGCTGAGGGAAAACAGAAAAGTGGGGAGGGAGGAGGAGGCAGCTCAGCAGCAAACTCCAGGAGAAATAACCAGCAGCCCTCACAGATTTGTGATTGTCTCTTAAAAAGATTTATTTTCTCTTCTTGCCTGAACGTACAAAGGCAAAAAGAGTACAGTTTGTATATATATATATTTATATATATATATATAAAAAACAAGGAACTTGGTAATGTACACTTTACAGAAGGGAAGAATCAGGAAGACTGAAATTAAATCCAACAGAGCAACGCCAATGGAACAAAAGCTATGAACAGCAACACTGCCCCTCCAGCCCGGGCCTCCAGCTCGCCCCAACCTGCTCCCAATGGGGGGGGCTGAGCACCAAGGCAAGCGGGTGGGCTGGGGCAAGAGGGGCTGGGGGCGGGGCCTGGGAGGGGCTTGATCCCAGGAGGGGCCCATGGCAGAGGATCATTGGAAAGCTTCCTGGGATGCCCTAGTAGTAAAACAAATGACAAAGGCCCGGAATTATGGGGCCAACTAGCTGCCCAGTTGAATCACAGGGGCAGGAGAGTAGACACTGGGATGGTGACAGGGTACGTAATATAATAAGCGACGTGGGTGACCTCAAAGCCCGTGTACAATAACTCTAGCCCTTCTATAGTCTCCCCCTCCCAACCCCCAAGCCACATCCTCTCACCCTCGCCTTGGAGCCTGGAGAGAAGATTCAAGAATCACTGTTTCATTTCATGGGGTGCCCTGTTAACCCTTCTGCATGTGGTCTTTCGACCTGGGGACATGTGGAGGGGATGAGGTAAGAGAAGGGAGCTTCGTACACGTACACGTACAGGCAGGGGAGGGGGGGATGAAGAGGCAGATGTGAGCCCTAAAGAGCAGCTCTCCAAGCCTTGGCGGTCCTGGCTGGGGGTGAGGCTCCTGCCCTCTAGCTTCTCATGCGGAGCCCCGACGAGCGAGTTCTTAGAAGAGGCCCGGGCAGGGGTGGCTCACAGTGAGCCTTGGTCCGGGGGTCGTGGCCCTTAGCAGCACACTTTGCCAGCCTTTGCCCATGGGGTGGGACCCTTGGGGAGGCTCTCATCTCTCTGAGCAGGTCATGGGTAGCCCCCCACCCGGGGGCCGCCTCCCCATACAGGGCGGCAGGAGGTGGACAGCCGATCGTTCCCTCGGCACTGGGCGAGGACTGGCCGCTGCTTCGTGTTGTTTCAGGGAGGGAAGATGGGGCCGGGTGAGGAGCAGGGACCGCGCAGAGGCAGTGCTAGTCCGCCCTTGCTGCTTTCACCTGCTCCTCTGGGCTGCTCAGCGCCTACTCTTCTACGGAGACTTGGATGTAAGGAGCAGAGAGCCAAATGGTTTTTAAGGAAAAGAAAAAGCTGTCCCCTTCTGCAGAACCCAAGACTGCCCTGCTAATACAGAAGTTCCTCTTCTCTGTGTCACAGAACAAAGTGGAAAGGGCAGGAATGTGGGGCCAGGCCTGCCCAACGGGAAAGAAAATTACTCCAACGGCTTCTTTACAATATGTACAGAGCACGCTGTGAGCCAGCGCCACAGATACAAAACACACAACAATATTTAAAAACAAACAGGAACAGAGATGGGCCCTCGGCTCCACCCCACAGGAGCCTGGCAGGGCATCATCAGGCTGAAACTCAGTCATCCCCCTGGTGGGGGTGACTCAGGTTGGGGGGTGGGCGGTGAAGGCGTCCAAACCAACTACTTCCATGGAATGGGAAGTCTGGGGTTGCAGGAGGCAGAGGGAATGATGCGGGCAAGGGAGGCTGCTTGGGGGCCTGCTAAGTGGTCTAAAACAGCGGGTTTTTGGGAGAGGGCTCAGAACTCAACTTGAATAACAATGACATGAAAATCCAGAGGGAAGGTCTATAGATCAGAGGGGCTCCTCTTGGGCAAATGACCCCAAGCCATTCAGAGTAGGGGTCCAGGGTTGTTGGAGAGCAGCCTCTGCTGGGCATTGTGCTTACTATCCGCCACCTCCATGCCCCAAACCGGGTCAGAGCCGAGTCCTTGCTCTTAAACGGTCACTTTGGCACTCTGGTCACAAATACCCCTCTCGAGCCTAAGCTGGTGTGTGTCAGTCTTTCTCAATCCAGAAGGTCCAGGAAAGATAGCCAAGGAGAACAAAGGGACGCTACCTCAAAAGCAAAATAAGAGCTAAAGCTCCCCATACCTTGGGGAAGAAGTGACCCCAATAAAGCTAGCAAATCATCGTCACTTTCCCAGGGCAAAGAGCCTGAAGCTGGACTGGTAGGTTGCATTTCTAAGGAGAGCAGAGAAATGTCTGCTGCCTCATTGCACAGCTCCACTGAGTACACTCTGGGGTTCTGAGGAGTAATGACTTGGATGTGTTATCCCAGGGTCTAAGGAACACCTATCTTCCCATGGCCAGTGGCCCCTAAAACAAAAACGTGTGTTACAAAGAAACACAGCTTATATTGGCACACGGGGTTATAGATTGAGCTGTATAAAATCATGTACTTGTATACAGAACAATTGGGCTGTTTATATTTGTGGCCCTAAATGAGGAGGATGCTCAGCTGGCTGAACGGACAGGACATCTCTAAAAACTGCTGGGTGCTCCCAGGGCCCGCCTCCTGGGCCTTGCCCTAAGGTGACCTGGCAGACTCCAAAGCTCCCCATGTTGGGGAGCATACTATTTTACCTGCCTGAGTCTTAAGAGCCAAGCAGTGGAAAAGAAAAGGAGCGATCAGCATGGGGATCCCCCTGGGAAAGGCAGCAAGGGGTCAGGAGGAAAGAGACAAGGGCAAGGAGTTGGGGGCTAAGAAGCAGCAGGACTTAGTGGGGATGCAGGTTCTATTTCACAACACTCCATTCATGCTCCAGCTCACTCCCAGTGTCCCCGGGGAGCCCTGTGCTGGTGTTGGGACGCTGGCTCTCTGCCTGACGGACAGCCCAAGGCCACGGTGGGGCAAATGCCTTGGTCTTCCTTTCCAGGTGAGGCTCTGAGCATGTATATGTGCTCATGCGGGAGGGGAGTAGTCTTCATGTCTGAAGACCTTGTTTTCACAAGTACAGAGAAAACAGCCCCCAATTTCTTTCCTGAGATTCTAATTCCTCCACATGCTGCCAGTTCCCAGGGCCCAAACTGCTGGGGAGATGCAGGAATCTGGTGGTTGTGGTAATGACGGTGAGAGGGGTACGGCTGCTGTGCTGTCCTCAGACCTTACCCAGTGCTTGGGAGTCCCTCCCTGGGGGCGAGGGTGACGGGTGTTGGCACTGCTCCGGCAGCAGGCCAGGGTCTTGGGGAACAGAGCAGTGACTTCTCTGGGCTGAGGCCATGTTCCCCTGGTTGCTCCCCATGCCTTCATCTCCACAGGGGCCACGATAGTCACGACTGTGGCCAGAGAATAAATATTTTTGCTAAGTACCAGCTCTCCAGCTCCTGAGGAAGAGGGTGGGTCAAGGAGTCCGGGGATCTGGTGGAGGTGAGATAGCCAAGGGTCTGCCTTCGGTCATGGTAGGAACGGCAAACAGGATGATCAACACCATTTAACTGATGTTTACATGGCACCTCCAGCACCTCCTTGGGTGAGCCAGTCCGGGCCCGTGAAGCTGAGTTTATCCGGGCACTTGGTGTTCTGCAAGGGAAACACGGACAGAGAACCAGGCACTCAGCCTGCGGGTATAACAACCACCAGGTGGCGCTCCGACAAAACGAACTGCAGGGGAGGCCAGTGCTGGCCCCGTGGGGATACCAGCGTAGGACAGCTCTTGTCACATGGACGCGGTTGAACCGGAGACTGGGAGACCCATACAAGAGGCTTGGCCAGGGTTCCACCATTTCCAGACCACTGACCCCACACAGCTTTCCCTCATCCAGTCTCCACAGGGGTTCTGTGATGCAGCAATCAACCATCCCTGCTCTATCTGTTGTCCCAAATTGAAAAGTGACTTACCATTCTCACCTCCGTGGGGGTGGGTAGAGTGAGGGAGTTGAGCCTTGCTGGCTGGCAACAATGGCCGTAGAAGAAAGCCCTGAGTGAGGAGGAGGACATGTTCAGTGTAACCCTCTCAGAACCCTCCGATTAAACACTCTCTTTATCAGCTTGGTGGCTCATGGGAGGAGTGTCCCCTTAAATTCCTGGCTCGAGTTTTGGGGTGCTGAGAGAAAAAAAAAATCTGATACTTGGCCAGATATAGTGGCTGTGGATAGTATATATAGCAAGGCCCTATTTTTCAGCTGCTTGTTTCTCTTTGGCTATGGGAACACGTGGTCCTTATTCTTCTGAATATCAAAGCCAATTCTCCAGAGGACTTTGAGAATCCCTAAGCTCCAGGGGAGGAAATAAATGTCATATGCTTTAATGACTGTCTGCAGGGGGTTAAGATCCTGGACAGAGTAGAAGGTCAACAAGAAAAAAAAAAAAAGGATTCTTGCTGGGGGTCCCTTGCTGTGGGCAATGCTACTATGCTACTGGGATGAAGTCAAAAAGGAGAGCTGGGGAAGGAGGCTTACCTGCTGCGTAGGGTAAGTTGTACTGTGCCGGGAGCAACGAGTACCCCAGATGGTGGTGGTGGTGGTGTGTGGACATCAGGCGCTGAGAAGGGGAGGTGCGGGGCCGGTCTACACTCCTCTCACCCCCTCCTGCCCCCCCAACGCTGCCACAGCTGCCACCGCCCCCAACCACCCCACAACCTCCTCGATCTCTCTCCTGAGACGTTTTATCAGTTATCTGGAAAAAAGCAGACACAAAAGCACTATTGTGAGACACACACACACACACACACACACACACACACACACACACACACACGACAGCAAGATGCTCCAGGTCCACATTATGACTCCTTACAAATGTGGGGCACCTAAGAATTGTGGAGATGCCTGGTGAAGCCAATGCCAACTCAGTCAGGCCTCACTGTAGTTAAGACCTGAACTTGCCTGCCCACCTTCTGGTTCCAGACCCTGGATCTGGGTTTTCGTAGCAGCCAGTGCCACTTACCGTGGGAGACTTGCTCTTGTAGTGACTGGCATGCTGCTGCAGGATGTCCAGAGCTTTGGACTCTGAGCTGGATTTACAACTGACGCTGGGGCTGGCTCGTGCCTTGTCGGCATCTTCACCCCCTGAGACCTTGCTGCCATATGGGGAGAAAGAGTAGCTGGAAGGTAGGTAGGAACCTGGAGAAGGAGAAATAAAGCAGTCAAAAGAGGTGACAGAAGTGGAAGAAACTCTGTTTTAGTGAGCTTGGTTAGGCGGGCATCAGCTTTTCTAGGCACAGACGGAGACTGAACGGAAACCGAACCACCATGGTGTCTTCAGGCCAAAACTATTAGTTTGTCCTTTCTTTAACTGAGTGCTAGAGGTGCAACTAGCTAAGGGATATTAGGGACATGGCCCTCAACTTCTGGGGAATCAACTTCTCTAGAGCCACAGCCTCAGAGATTCACCTTGGAGAGGTGAGAGGATTTGGAGTCAGATGACCCTGGGTTCAAATCTACTTCTCAAGACTTACCAGCAGGGTAGCCTTGAGCAAATTAACAACCCTTGCGAGCTTTAGTTTCTTTCCCATCAAAAGGAAGATACTAATACTATTCCATAAGGAAGATTGAGATAATGTACATAAATCACCGAGTCCGGTGCAGTGTCTGGCCCACAGAAGGCACGCGTCAAGGGAAGTGTTATTTTTATATGGATGGATGGGGAGAAAGGAACACCACAGGGTGAGACAATTTCCTATCTCTTTGAAAAGCTTACTTGTGCTATTTAGAATTTGCCTTACAATGTTCGACCAGGCTATCAAGACTAGACTGTTCTCCGATAGGGAGGTGGGAGCTCTGAGGGGTGAAAGGAGTGCTCTTCTGCCCCAGAAGCATCCCACGTGGCTCTCTGGACAACAGAAACCAGTGAGTGCAGTTGAACAGGAACACTGTCTTGTAACAAGTTAAAAAACACTTACGCCCCTACTTTGTACCCCTCCCCAAGAATTCATGGATGCCAGTGTCAAGAGCTTATCTTTCCCAAGTTGAACGAGTTTTCTACTGGACTTTCCTCCACTCTGATTTCAAACAGCTCTTCCCCTGTCCCACTGTCTTCCAACCTTCCAGCTGAACATGATCTTGTAAATGAATACATGCATTGTCCTGGTTTGAACTGTATTTGTTCCATGTGTCTCTCCTGCTACAACTAAGTTGTAAGCTCCTTAAGAGGGAACTAGTCTTCTCTGTTTCTTTTGTATTCCCCAAAGTGCCTAACCCATTGCAAAATGTCGAGTATGTGTTTAAAAAAATCCCAGCTGAGGGAAGATGGCAGTGGTAAAGAGGGAGTTTTGCCTTCAGTCATCCAGGAAAACCGACTACAGAGGCAAGACTAGCTGGAGCAAGCGAGGGAGAGGGGGGTCCCACACGCTGTAGTCAGGGGCCCTTCAAGGAGCTCGGGGCTACAACTGACTGCTCACAGAATGTCACATTGAAAACAGGGCAGTCATCTATCCGAGCCTCAATAAGCCTGAGGGCTGCACAAGAAAACTCTGGCTCTGAAATCTGTGTTTCATTTTCCTTCCCGGTTAATGGAGCCCAAGTGGGAAGGTGAGGGCCGTACCTGGGTAGTTCTGCATCATCACAGCAGGCATGCCCCGGTAGCTCGGGTGGTTGGGGTCATAGGACTGGCTGTAGGAGTAGCCGTGCATGTAAGGGATGTAGGACTGGTGCTGGGTGAGGGGGGAGGACACAGGCACATGGACACTTGGTCGGGGCTCCTTGCTCCCGAGGCGGGATTCCTCAGATGTGGACAGCTTGCAGTCACTACTTGTGCTTTCCTTCCCATCCTCCTTGGAGACAGAGTCCTTACTCCGACTCCTTTCCTCCTTCAATTTGCGGTCCCGCTCCTCTTTCCACCGCTCATCCTCTGACTTAATGTCCGAGTACTTGGCAGGATAGACATACGTCCACATCCGGGGCTCTGCTTCCTAAAAATCACAGAACGAGCACTGAGTGTTGTACAGATAAGAGAGAGATGTCAAGCCCAAGGTCACAGTAGAAACACCACAGCAGGTAACACTAGACACTTGGGCGAGGTATAATCTTGGCCTCTGTTGATCCTCAATTAGAATGAACTCTGGGCCCTCCTGTTTAAAAAGCCTGCTTCCTCCCTGCCCAAGAGGAAACAAGATGTGGGGAAGGAAAAGGAAAATCCACCAGTGGGTCTTCTCTAGGAGAATATGCATTTTGGGGAAAGGAGTCTTTGAATAAAAGAAGCTGCTCCCTTTCCAAGGAATTTTAGGTTGTTTCACCTCTTAAGAGTAAGCTCAGGGGCAGGGAGTCATGAGTGGCTCAGAGAAGGGAGGTCTAATGGTGATACCAAGAAGTAAGGGAAGACTTTCTAAGTCCCATGAGCAGAACATGATGTGAGACCAAGTTCTTAGTTCTAACTCTACCTATAAAAAAAAAAAAAATTAAGATTTTATTTTTAAGTAATCTCTACACCCAATGTGGGGTTCGAACTTACAACCCTGAGATCAAGAGTTGCATGCTCCACTGACCGAGCCAGCCAGGGTCCCCACTATAAAATCTTTTAGAAAGTAACTCAGTCTGAGTAGTAACTCCCTCTAGGAAATGGAGAGATCACCATGAACTCACTCCATAGGAACCAAACAGTGGAAGAGACACTGGACTAGGAATTGAGATAACCTGGGTTCTAATCCTGGCTCTGCTAATGAAGTTGCAAGTTACCCTAGACAAATCAAGCTAACTTACCTGGGCCTCTCCTGTCAAATGGGAAAAACAACTTTTACTGATGTAAATGCGCTTTTTAAAAACACAGACATGATTTACAAAGGTAAAGAATCCTTAAAATTATAGATTTCTCCTGCTAATCTGTATTCTGCTGACCCCCTACCTAAGGAGAGCCCTGATTTGTGAGGAAGAGAGAAAGGCTATCAAATAGTATTTCTATTTCCTCCCAGAACAGTTACCTGTCGGTACCAGAGGATTGGATCCACCTCTGCCTGGCGGCCACACTCAGCACCTGTCTTAGCCTCAGAGGCCTCCTTGCCTAGGTGGCTGGCCTCACTCAGCTTCACTTTAAGTCCTTCCGGGGCCTGGCTGGGGAGTTTGGAGGAGTCGTCTAACTTGGGAATAATGACTGACTTGGCAGGGTCAGCCCCTGGCTCCTTGGCCTTCCCGGGTCCCGACTTGACCAGGTCCGTCAGGCTGGGGGCCTTGGTGAGAGTTGGTGGAATCGACGGCTTTTGCTTCCATTCTTCCTTGAGTGTGGCCTCCCGCTCCTTCAGGCCCAGCTCCGCCTTCTTGTCCAGTCCGCGCTGCTGCTCCAGGCTCTGCCGTTTCTGCTGTTCCTCGTACTGCTGCCGGTAAGCCGCGTTCGTGCTCAGGAGGTGGGTGTGGTAACTCTGGTCACTGTAGCCGTACGGGGGCACGTAGGCATACTGGTTGTAGTACAGGGACTGCATGTACATGTTGGGACGCTGCTGGATGACAGAAGGCTGCTGACTGGAACCGCTCAGCTCTGGTTTCTTTTCCTCACAGACATCATTCTTCACTTTCCCCTCTATGCTCTCAGGCTCCTCATCCTTTTTTGTCTTCAGAGCCTGGCTCTCCACTCCCACCTGGCTGTTGGGGTTCAGAGCCCCTGGGCTGGACTGTGCATAACTTGGAGAGTAGTAACTCTCAAAGCCTTGGTAATAGGGTGAGTCTTTGCTCTGTGGCTGTGGGGGGAAAAGCGTTTTCTTAGCCCCTTCTTTAACCAACTGTTCAGGGTCCTTTGATTTGACACTGTCCACTTTGCCCTCCCCATCCTCCCCGGCATCTGATATGTCCGAGTATGCAGGGCTGTTGGTTTTGACTGAGTTGGCTTCAGCTCCATTCTGGGTCACTACATGTAAGGGAGTCAGGGGCTGGGTAGGGGTGGTGCTATCTAGGCGGCTACTGCCTCCAATTGAAGGGCTGGGGGCATTGTCCGTGAAGCTGTAGATCTTGTCAGCTTCTGCCTTGATGCTAGCCAGTCGGCTTTGGTGGGGGTCTGATGAGCCATTCAGGAGCCCCTCCATCTTCATCCCATCTCCCGATGATTCCCTGAAGGGGCTTTTGCCTTCTTCTGCTCGACACACCTTCCCAGGCGTCAGAGGACTTTCAAGTTCCTTTGAAGACTCCTTCTTTTTTTTGTCTTTCTTTTTCTTGTCCTTGGCTGGAGTCAAGGCAGGGTTAACTGTGAAAGGTTCTCCCATCACAGTGGGCTTGGGCTGAATAGGCTTGAGCTGGGGGCTGTTGGGCATGGCTTGGACCACTGTGGTGGTCAAGCCTGAGGAGGAGCCTGGGCTTGCTGCTGTGAAGGTGGCGGTCTGGAAGGTGTAAATTTGCTGCGGGGGGATGGCAGGGGCAATAGGCCGCGCTGACTTTAAGCTTTTGGAAGGAATCTTTTCAGGCTTCAAGCTAGAGGATTTTTTACATTTTTCTTTTTCCATGCACTTCCTTTCCAAAGAATCAAAGGCATCGCTGCTTGTTTCATCCATTACTGAGGGTCCATCATCAGAGCCATCATTTGATAAGGCCCCGAGGTCTGTGTCTCCTTCCCCACTCAGCTTTTTCTTACAGAGGCCTTTTGTGCTGAATTTGCTTGAAGGAGAAGGGCTATGGGGCTCCACGAGCCGAACTTTGGGGGTAGCTGAGCGGGCAGGGGACAAGGAACCTTTTTGTGAGACGGATGCACCATTGCAGCTCCCGAGGTCTGCATGGAGGGTGGGCTCCTCTCCGTACTCACTATCTCCATCTGCTTCCGGCTTGCTGTCATCATCTGTGTGGGCATGGGCTTGGTGGTACTTAAGTCCATTGATGTGCTTATACTTTTTGTTGCAGTTCGGGTGGGGGCAGTCAATCAGGACTGGAGAGGGACAATTTCTGTCTAGAACAGTGGGTTCCACCTTGGTCCCAGGGATGGGACCGGTGGCTGAGCCCATGGAATTCGTACGGACACGCTTGCTCCCTTTGGAGTCCTCTGAGCTAGAATTCAACTCCATGTCTGAAAGTGGTTTGTTTTTCCGCTTATTAGCTGAGGAAGGGCTGGCCTTGACATCCTCAGAGGTGCTACTGGCAGGTGGGCGATGCTCTGAAGAATTTTGGCTGCCACGACGGCCTTTGCTATTGGCTCCTGCTCGGGTTTTGCTGCTGCTGCTGGTCCCTTTGCTGTCAGAGGCCGTGGCTGTCTCATTGACAGGTGTGTTACTGTTAGGACGCATGCGTTTGCCTCTACCCCGGCCATTGCGCATTTCCAAGTCACTGGTAGGGGAGTCGCAGAACCTTGGCAAAAGGCAAACACAACAGGATATTACTAAGAAGAGAAAACAACTTCAAACCAGATTGGCTGCTTCCAGAACTGTCTAGATGGTAACTATCATTTTCAATGAATATGATTTGTTAAAGGAACTTCTGAAAGCGTGGGAACTGCATTAAGTGGTGAGCTCCTAGGATGCTATCCTGCATGCTAACTGTGTATCATTCCCCAACATCTGGGCTCCCCAAACCTGGCAAACTGGGTACAAACAAGCTGTAAAGTGCCATTCACTGAAATGCCAACCGGAAAAGGTCTTTGTGAAACCCACATTGTCTAGCGTTCATAAAACTGAAGATGTTCTTGAGTTTAAACTCCTTGGAGATAGCTACCATCAAAACGCATCATCAATGATTTCTTTACCCACAGACAGACTCCATGGACTTGGTCTCAAGGTGACTACTGGTAGAAGCCAGAATTTGGTAATTCCAGACAAAGGCTTAAATAGGATCTCCTCCCCATCCCTATCCAATCCATCAACACGTAATTCATTTATTCTTCTTGAACGCCTGACCAGTAGAATGCCTTCCCTCATCCCAACACTATCATATTCTTTAAAAGCTGGGTGTCTTAAAAGCTATCCAACTCTAACAGGATGAAGGCACAAGGGATCACTGATTAGGGTGGCTCAGACTAATATACACCAAAAAGCTATAAAATGCTTACCTGGGGGGTGCCCAATCATGCCGTGTGCAGTCAAGAAGTGTACCTACATATGTCTTGTTCCTCCATGTTACATTCACCACCAACATCCCTGCAAGACAAAAAGATTCAAATACAGACAAGAGAAACCCTGCTGCCAATGAGAAGAGTATTTTTCATTTGAGGAGGATTCTGGCTCCTGTAGAAGGGTTTAGGTGGTGCTCTGGGTCCCCATGAGACACACAGGATTGGGCCGAAATATCACTATGGGAACCGCCTATTCAGCTCAATAGATTTATAAGATTTAGTGCCATACTGACATTGGATTTCTCTTTTAAAGAATAAAACATCACAGTTAAAAAGCACTATTTACTGTATTTTCAAACTTTCTATTGATGGGACCATGCTGGGGTGTAACTTACCTTTCTCATTAACATTACAAATTTGAGATGTATCGATGTTGACATGAAAAGCTTAATCAACTTATTTTAACTGTGCTCACGTATGACTGTGAGCACATATGTGCTCACCTATGTATGATTTGACCACAATTTTCAAGTTCTCCTACTGATGGATATTTAGGATATTTTGAGCATTTCACTCATAAATGATTATCACAGTGAACACTCCTGTCTTCTTCATATTACTTAAAAATGCTTTTGGATGGATAATAGAGTCATATTCCAAAATTCAAAAGCCAGCAAACAAATCCCAAAATAAATGAAGTGTTCCCTCCTGTCACTGTCATTCAGCCTTCCAGTTCCTCTACTCAGAAACATCCATGGATCCACATATTCCTCCAGAGAGATTTTATACATTTATAAACAAATATACATTCTTCCTCAAATGGTAGCAATATACAATGTTCTGTACTTTTTTTATCTAAGCATATATTCTGGATCGTTCCGTATCAGTACACATAGAACTACTTCATTTCAAAGGCTGCATTTGAATGATTTCAAATTATACCATAATTTATTTAATCAGTCCCCTGGTGATGGACATTTAGGTTGCTTTACTATTCTGCTATTACAAATAATGCTAATGAATAACCTTGTACAAATGTTTTATCTTACTTATATGAGTATGTCTGTAAGATAAATTCCTGTAAAATTGTTAATCACAGAGCACTTGTATTTGGATTTTTGATAAATACTGCCAAACTGACATCAAAGAAGATACACTAATTTATACACCCATCAGTAGTGCATGAGAACACCAGCTGTCCTTTTCCTTTGGCAATAGTGTTCTCAGACTTGTTGATCTTTGCCAACCTGATAGAAGAAAAAGAGTATTTTATGTAGTTTTAATTTAATGCTTATCATGAGTTTGTACATCATATCATTTTAAGACATCATTATGAGATGTATTTCCTTCCTAAGTGAACTGTCTGTTCAAATCCTTTGCTCATTTTTCTACTGAATTATGTAGTTTTTTTCTTATTTGTAACTCTTAATATACTAGAATAAGCCTTTTGTCTGTTGTACAAATCAGGTATTTCCCCCTGGTTTGTCATTTGCTAATGGTGGTTAATGCTCTGTAGACATTATTTACTTTTTTTTTTTTTTTAAAGATTTGTTTATTTGAGAGAGACAGATATAGTGACAGAGAGCACAAGCAGGGAGAGGGAGAAGCAGGCTCCCGCCGAGCGCAGAGCCCGATGCAGGGATTGATCCCAGGACCCTAGGATCATGACCTGAGCCGAAGGCAGACGCTTAACGACTGAGCCACCCAGGCGCCCCTATTTACCTTCTTTTTAAAGAAGGTTTATTTATTTAAGTAATCTCTATACCCAATGTGGGGCTTGAACTCATGACCCTGAGATCAAGAGTTGCATCCTGTACTGACTGAGCCAGCCAGATGCCCCGAAATTATTGACTTTTATGTAGTTACATTTATCAATCTTTTATGGCTTCAGAGTTTTTTGTCCTATTTCAAAAGGCTTTCCTTATTCCATCACTTCATTAATAGATTTTTCTTATGTTTTCTTTTAGTACTTTATAGTTTGATTTTTTATCTTTAAATCTTTGATCCATCTGGAATTCAATCTGGTATAGAACTTTTTTTTTAAAGTAATCTCCATATCCAACATGGGGCTCGAACTCATGACCCAGAGATCAAGAGTCAGATGCTCTACCGACTGAGTTTTTAATTTTGTTTTTGTGGCTTATTTATCCTCTAAAGTATTTTTGGTTAGTTCCACCTTTTAATGAAGTTAAATATATTGAGCTTTTCCTTTATGGCTTATGCTTTTTATGTCTTATCACAAAGTCATAAACATTATAACAATGAGATACTTTAAAGTTATTATTAACAAGTTATAAATCATCTTTACATGTTTAATGGTAAAAAAATGAAAAGGAGAATATGATTTTATGTGAAATTATATGTTATGTGATATGAATAAAGTTTTATTGGAATCATAGCCACACTTACTCATTTATGCATTGTCTATGCCTGATTTCATACCACAGGTTGAGCTGCAACAGAGAGGCTGTATGGCCTGCAAAGCCTAAAATATTTACTACCTGGCCCTTTATGAACAAGTTTGGTAGCCCATTTTAGATCTTTTTTCCTTTCAAATATAAGCATGTAAAGGTATGAATTTCCCTCACAGCCTACATTAGCTGCATTTCACAAGCTTTGATATGTTTTCATGATCATTCAGGTCAAAACATTTTCTTCTTTTTTTTTTTTAAAAAGATTTTATTTATTTATTTGTCAGAGAAAGACAGCACGAGAGCGAACACAAGCGGGGGAGTGGGAGAGGGAGAAGCAGACTTCCCACCGAGCAGGGAGCCCGATGTGGGGCTCAATCCCAGGACCCTGGGACCATGACCCGAGCCGAAGGCAGACGCTTAACGACTGAGCCACCCAGGCGCCCCATAAATAAAATCTTAAAAAAAAAAACCCACAAAAAACCCCCAGTTCTATCCATTACTCTGTGCTCACCATGATAAGTGTACTCATTTCTTGGCTCTCCTTCCTCCCAACCTCAGATAAAAAACAAAGAAACTACTAAAAAACCAAGCTTTCATTTTTTTAGGTCTCTTAAATCAGTACTCGTACATCTGCTTTCTAGTTTCCAAAGTTCTATTGATTATATTTCTTTGCAGTAGTCTTGTCTGTTTTTAAAAATTTTTTTTTAATTTTAATTTTTAAAAAATATTTTATTTATTTATTTGCCAGAGAGAGAGCACAAGCAGGGGGAGTGGCAGGCAGAGGGAGAAGCAGGCTCCCTGCTGAGCTCCTTGGAGCCCGATGTGGGACTCGATCCCAGGACCCTGAGATCATGACCCGAGCCGAAGGCAGACGCTTAACTGACTGAGCCACCCAGGCGTCCCTTTTTTTTTTTTTAAGATTTATTTATTTATTTGAGAGAGACAGAGACAGCACACATGAGTGAGTGCACACCAGTGGGGGTAGGGGCGGAAGGAGAGGGAGACTCTCCAGCAGGCTCCCCCTGTGGGCTTGATCCCAAGACCCTGAGATCATGACCAGAGCCAGAGTTGGACACTTAACTGACTGAGCCACCCAGGCGCCCCAGTCTTATCTGTTTTTAAAAAAACCTGAGTCTATATCTTAAAAACAAAATCCCTTTACTGACATTTGAATGAATTATAAAGGGAGAAACTGGAAGGTAAATATGTACTTTCAGTCTACCATGTTTAACTAAAATAATGCATTTACTTTTATTTATCTGTTATATTACAAATGTACAAACTACCTAGACAGGTTTCTAATTAGAATCTAATTCAGAAAAATTACCACCTATTATATATTCATTTACTGTCTCTCTATGCCATTCTTTCAATCTCTTTTATCCCCTAGGACTCATACCTGATATGTGTTAGAGCCTCTCAAGCCATTATCTCTCTGTTTAAGTTGATCTCTCGTGTATTTTTTCTCTCTGTGTTTGATTCTCCCAATTTATAATTTGTTCCTAGAATTTATCTAAGGTATTGAGTTAAAAAAAATTTTCAATGACTATAATATGTATTTCAAAGATTGTCATTTTCAAAATTTTAAACTGGTTAATTTTTCATATCTATATAACATTAATTTCTGGCTCTTTGGTTCACAGCTTTTTTTATCTTTTTTAAGATTTTATTTATTTGACAAAGAGAGAGAGAGAGAGAGAGAGAGAGAGAGAGAGCACAAGCAGGAGGAGCGGCAGGCAAAGGGAGAAGGAGAGCAGGCTTCCAGCGGAGCAGGGAGCCCCATGTGGGGCTTGATCACACGACCACTGAGATCATGACCTGAGCCAAAGGCAGACACTTAAACTGACTGAGCCCCCAGGCGCCCCAGACTTATTACAGTCTTTATTTGACTATACCATACAATAATTTCATTAGGTGTTCATTCAATTCCTGGTGGTTAAGTTTTTAAAATCACTTTTTACATTTTGAGATAATTATAGATTCACATACAGTTGTAAGAAATAATAGAGGCCCCAATGTACCCTTACTCAGTTTCCCCTAATGGCAACATCTTGCAAAACTATAGTATTATATCCCAACCAGGAGTCTAACATTGACACATGAAGATACAAAATATGTCCGTCAACACAAGGATACCTCCTGTTGCCCTTTTTACAGCTTCACTCACTTCCCTCTCACACTCATCCCTCCTTAATTCCTGACAACTACTAATCTGTTACCGATTTCTGTAATTTTGTCATTTTAATAATGTTATATAAATGGAATCACACAGCATATGACCTTTTGGGACTGTCGTTCCCCATCCCCCAGCATATAATTATCTGGAGATTGATCCAACTTGTTGCATGTATCAACAGTTCAGTCTTTTTTATTGGTGAGTGGTATTCCCCAATATGGATGTACCAGTTTGTTTTACCATTTACCTGGTGAATGTGAAGGACATCTGGGTTGTTTCCAGTTTTGGGCTATTATGAATAAAGCTTCTATAAACATTTGTGTACAGGGTTTTAGTGAACTTGAGTTTTCATCTCTCTAAGATAAATAACCAGGAGTATAATTACTGGATCATATTATAGTTGCATATTTAGTTTTTTAAGAAACTGCCAAACTGGGGTGCCTGGGTAGCTCAGTCGGTTAAGTGGCTGCCTTCAGTTTGGGTCATGATCCCAGC